TGTCTGTTATTTGGCTGGAAGCCATAGGAGTGAATTCAATTGCAGACCTGAAGTGTAGCTAGGGGCCATAGTCTCAGGGGTCTTACCCAGCTCTATCAGACCAGTAAGCCTGGTCTTTTTTTGTGATTTTGAGTTTTGTTGTACATTGTTCTCCCACTCTATCCAGGATCTCCTGCACCAATCCCCCTCCTAGTGGTTGATAGCGATAGCTAGGGACCATCTGGTTCTTCTGGTCTCATGGTCATATAGGCCCAGGATCACATGGTCTACCAGTCTCTTTGACTAATTGTTTCCATGCATCTTTGGTTTTCTTTATTCTTTACTCTGGACGAGGAGAGGCCCATTGTATCTAGATAGCTGTTTGCAAGCTTTTAAGACCCCAGTCGCTGCTCACCAAAGTAGGATGTAAAACAGTGTTTTTGTGTAGTATGTTCTGCCAGTTGAGCTTGATGAGATGCTTAACTTTTCTCAATTAAAATTTCCTTATCAGAAAACTGAATGTAACAATGGAAAATAATACTACATGAGATTGTTGTGAGAATTAATGATATTATGTGAAAATTTACCAGAACATATGGTACATAAACTCAACTAAATCCACTGCAATCGACTCAATTCCTACTCACAGCAACCCCCTTTGGGTTTCCAAAGCGGTAAATCTTTACAGAAGTAGATTCCTCAGACTTCCTTCCACAGAGTGGTGGTAGGTTTGAACCGCCAACCTTCTGGTTAGCAGTCAAATGCCTTAGGCACTATGCAACCAGGACTCCTTATATGGTACGTAGACATATATGATATCATAATCATAAATAAATGATTTAGTGATATATGGTACATAGACATTGCTTAATAAATGATTGTTGACTCTAAATAGTAAAAACATAAGCATGCCAACTCAGTATTAGTAACTGGTAAGGATGGGGGGACCTGTGTGCTATCTATAGTACAAGGGGTTCTGTTCTTTATTCTACCTCTTTTTCCAATCACAGTGCCTATCACTTAGCAAATGACAAGTATAGAAGTATATTAGTAGCAAAATTGAAACTACCTGGTAACTGGTACATATTTTTTGCTTCAAAGACATTGATTACAGGATTGACTGATAACCCCATTTCTCCCTATGGCACTAACCGAGAAAGGAACCTTCACCCAGGAAAATGATAATAGCTTTCAAGACTTGAGTTCTCTTTGAGCCAGAAGTATAATCACTGGGAAGGATTCAAATAAAGAAGATAAAACTTCATTTTCTATTAAAATACAGTGATAAAATTGCTGATCTTTCTTTGCTAGCCCATGGTCACAAAATTTTCTAATTTCATAAATTATGAATGAAATTTCTCTCTCAGATATGAGACAAAAGAGCGGCATTGGCAGGTGTAGCCACTATGGGAGCCCAGCCTGCAGTGGAGCAACTAATACCACAGGGACTCATTCCTGTAGTACTAGGAGATGTGGCTCATCCACATCCCTGTAAACTGGCTCCCATGTCACTCGGGTAATGCCCTGTTTCCAATGATGTTGGTTGTGGAACCAAGTAATATGAAATCTTACTTCAACCTTTTCTCCATTTATTGTGATGCTGCTTATTGGCCCATTTGAAAGGATTTTCATTTTCTTTATGTTAATGTGTCATCCATAGTGAAGACAGTAGTCTTTGAACTTCATCAATAAGTGCTTCAAGTCCTCTTCATTATCAGCAAGCAAAGTTGTGTCGTCTGCATATCACAGATTGTTAATGAGTCTACCTCCAATCCTGATGCCACATTCTTCATGTAGTCCAGCTTCTTTGGATTATTTGCTCAGCATACAGATTGAATAAGTATGGTGAAAGGATACAACCCTGATGCACACTCTTATTAATTTTAAACCATGCAATATCTTCTTTTTCTGTTTAAACAAAAGCCTCCTGGTATATGTACAGGTTTTTCAGGAGCATAATGAAGTGTTCTGGAATTCCCATTCTTCTCAGTGTTATCCATAACTTGTTAGGATCCACACAGTCAAAATGCTTTGCATAGTCAATAAAGCACAGGTAAATATCTTTCTGGTATTCTTTGCTTTGAGCCAAGATCCATCTGACATTAGCAATGATATCCCTCATTCCATATCCTCTTCTGAATCTAGGTTGCATTTCTGGAAGTTCTCTGTCAGTATACTGCTGCATCCATTTTTAAATTATCTTCAGAAAGATTTTACTTGCATGTGATATTGATGGTATTGTTTGATAATTTCCAGTTCAGTTGGATCACATTTCTTTGTAATGGGTATATATATAGATCTCTTCTGCCTGTTGGCCAGGTAGCTGTCTTCCAAATTTCTTAGCATACATGTGTAAGCACCTCTAGTGCAACATCTGTTTGTTGAAACATCTCAGTGGGTATTCTGTCAATTCTAGTAGACTTGTTTTTCACCAGTTCCTTCCGTGCAGTTTTGACTTCTTCCTTCAATACCATTGGCTCTCTATCATATGCAACCTCCTGAAATAGATGAACATTGACCAATTCATTTTTGTACAATGACTCTCTGTATTCCTCCCATCTTCTTTTAATGTTTCCTGCATCATTCAATATTTGCCCATAGAATCTTTCAGTATTATAACCCAAGGCTTGAATATTTTCCTGTTCTCTCAGTTTGAGAAATGCTGAGCATATTCTTCCCCTTTGGTTTTCTAACTCCAGGTCTTTGCACATTTCATTATAATGATTGACTTTTTCTTCTCAGCTTGCTGTTTTATCTCATCATTTCTTCAATTTGCTTTAGCTACTCTCCATTCAATGGCAAGTTTTCTTAGAGTCTCTTCAGATGTCCATCCTGGTCTTTTCTTCCTTTCTTGTATTTTTAATGTCCTTTTGCTTTCTTTGTGGGTGATATTCTTGATGTCATCCCACATTGCCACTGGTTTTCAGTCATTGGTGTTCAGTGCATCAAATCTGTTCTTCAGATGATCTCTAAACTCAGGTGGGATATAATTAAGGTCATATTTTGGCTGTCTTGGACTTGTTTTAATTGTCTTCAGCTTCAGCTTGAACTTGCATATGAGCAATTGATGGTCTTTTCCACAATCAGCTCCTGGCCTTGTTTTGGCTGAAGATATTAAGCTTTAACATCACCTCTTTCCACAGATGTAGTCAATCTGATTCTTGTGTATTCCATCTGGTGAGGTTCACATGTATAGCCACCATCTGTGTTGTTGAAAAAAGGTATTTGCAATGAATAAGTCATTGGTCTTTCAAAATTCTGTCATGCAATCTTCAATGTTATTTCTATCATGAAGGCCAAATTTTCCAACTACCAGTGATTCTTCTTTGTTTCTAACTTTTACATTCCAATCATAAGTAATAATCAATACATCTTGATTGCATGTTTGGTCAATTTCATGCTGCAGTAGTTGGTAAAAATCTTTAATTTCTTTATCTTTGGCTTTGGTGATTGGTACATAAATTTGAATAATAGTAGTATTAACTGGTCTTCCTTGTAGGCATGTGGATATTATCCTATCACTGACAGCACTGTACTGTAGGATAGATCTTGAAGCATTCTTTGTGATGATGAATGTGATGCCATTCCTCTTCAATTTGACATTCTTGGCATAGTAGATCATTATTATCATCTGATTCAAAATGGCTAAACCCAGTCCATTGCAGCTCATTAACATCCAGGACATCAATCTCTATGTGTTCCATTTCATTTTTGTCAATTTCCAATTTTCCTACATTCATACTTTGTACATTTCATGTTCTGATTATTAATGGATGTTTGCAGCTGTTTCTTCCCATTTTGAGTCATCCCCCATCAGCAAATGGAGGACCGAAAATCTTTACTCCATCTATGTCATTAAGGTCAACTCTACCCTGAGGAAGCAATTCTTCCCCAGTCATATTTTAAGTGCCTTCCAACCTGAGGGCCTCATCTTCTGACACTATAACAGACAATGTGTCAGAGATATTCATAAAGTTTTTCAATAATACATCAGACTGTTTGTTTTAATTACTTCCTGCCACTCTAACAGAAAATACCACCAATGGGTGACTTTGACAAACAGGAGTTTATTCTCTTACAGTTTTGGAGGCTGCAAGTCTGAGTTCAAAGTGTCAGGCTCTAGGGATTGGTTGAAAGCCCCTTGACCTTGGGTTCCAGCTCTTCCTCTTGCTCCCAGCCCACTGAAGCTGGAGGCTTTCTTCACTCAGGCAGCTGCTGGCTGAGGAGGCTGACAAATCCCAGGTTAGCAAGTAAAAAGACAAAGTCTCAATATTACTAAACCACTTGGAAGGCCATTGATTCAAGTCCATTAAGAGTCCCAAGATCGGCAGACAACATGGGAGGCTGCTGAACAACCACTCGGCTACACACAGGATTCAAGCGTGCCAAAAGCTGGAGACCTTCCTCAAAGTTGCTTCTTATATACTGGAAACAGGCCACATCCCTAAGGCAGCTACTTAGCTGCTCCAGTAGATTCTACCGTGGAGCTAATTACCAATCTCAATGTGGGGAATAACTACATCCAGCCCCAGCCAAGTTGACACATAACCTTAACTACCACAGTGTTTCACCACTATTCATTAGATTTTCACTGACCAGTTCTTTGAGAAGTGGATGTCCCCTTCCTTCTTCCTAGTCTGTCTTAATCTGTAAGCTCCACCGAAGTCTGTCCACCATGGGTGACCCTGCTGGTATTTGAAATACCAGTGGCATAGCTTCCAGCCTCACAGCAATATATAGCCACCACAGTACAACAAACTGACAGATGAGCATGTAGAAGGAAAACAAAGAGGCAGAAATATCAGTGGATAATCTCCAGTATCATTTGCTCCTTTAACATCTCTGTCTACTCTGAATTCAGACAGAAACTGTTAGCACTTCGAGATATCTAGTATAATTCATTTGCAGTACAATCCAGAGTGAATCAGTTGGTCTTTTCTGAAATAAATGAGAACTTAAAGTTGAATGTGAGCATTTTAAAAAAGTGTTTTGTTTTTTTTTCCTCCCATCATAATCTATAGGTCCCAGGATAAAAAAGAAGAAGCCATCCTCTTACTGAGGGATTCCATTAAGTATGGTCCAGAGTTTGCAGATGCATATTCAAGCCTAGCTTCATTATTGGCGGAGCAGGTAATTGTTTCCACTCAATTTCACACAATTATATATATATATGTGTGTGTGTATATATATATATTTGTTGTTGTTGTTTGCCATCGAGTCTGCCCCGACTCATAGCGACCCCTCCTTGGGTTTCCGAGGCAGTATCACTACAGAAGTAGGATTGCCCAACATATATATATA